TAACGAGTTTGCTTAATTTGGAGATTGAGGACGAATTTAAGCTCTCACATCATACTCATTTCAAATCCCATGCTCATGCATTTAGAAAACTCTTCACAAAGATATGTGTTAGTTGCACCAAATATGATGTCATCAATATAAATTTGAACAATGGTCATATCCTTCTTTTATGTTTTGACAAAAAGAGTAGTATCTGCTTTTCCAATTGAAAAATCATTTGAAATTAGAAATTTGTTCAATCATTTATACTAGGCTCTATGAGCTTGTTTGAAACCATAAAAAGCTTTTCGAAGTTTGAAAACATAGTCCGGATGTTTGTGGTCTTTAAAATCGGGTGGTTGTTCAACAAACACTTCTTTTTGAATAAAACCTTTAAGAAAGCACTTTTGACATCCATTTGATAAAGAGTGAATCTTTTATGACAAGCAAATGCAAAAAGCATGCGAATAAATTCTAATCTGGCCACTGGTGCAAATGTTTCTTCAAAATCGATGCTTTCTTCTTGATTGTAACTTTGAGCCACTAATCTAGTCTTGTTACGCACAATTATTCTGTTTTCATCACTTTTATTTCTAAAGACCCATTTAGTGCCGATGACAGTTTGATCATTTGGTCTAGCGACTAAATCCTAAACATGGTTTTGTTCAAATTGATTTAATTCTTCTTGCATAGTTAGAATCCAAAATTCATCAAACTCGGGCTCTTTGAAGTTTTTCGGTTCAATTTGTAAAATGAAACCACATCTACATAAATGATTTTTAGTAGAGGCTCTAGTAGTAATACCTTTGGAGGGATCACCAATGATTAGTTCTATAGGATGAGAATGAACGAACTTATATTCTTTTGGTAGTGATGAATCATTTTGGACTTCGGTTGACTCTTCTTCACTTTGTTGAACATTTTCTCCCTCTTTATGTTCATCTCATGGATCTTCCTTGTTTTGATCTTCAATAGTCATTTGTTCGAATGGAGTTTCCAACCCTACATCATTATCAATAGATTTCTCACGATCAAGAGAGTTAGTTTCATCGAAAGTGACATGCATGAATTCTTCAACTACTAGAATTCTTTTGTTGAAGACTCTATAAACTTTACTTAGTCGATGAATATTCTAGAAAAATTTCAATGTCGGATTTTGAATCAAAATTTTCCAAGCTTTCTTTTGTGTTCAAGATAAAGTATTTGCACCCAAAGACTTTGAAATAACCGATATTGAGAATTCTATTTTTTTCAAAGTTCATATGGGGTTTTGGTTTTCTTTCCTCTAATTAAAACCCTATTAACAATATAGCAAGCGGTGTTAACGGAAAAAAATATTTTGGCATGCTATTTTCAATTAACATGGTCCTAGTCATTTCTTGCAATGTGCGATTCCTCATTTCTTCTACACCATTTTGTTGAAGAGTTCTAGGAGCCGAGAAATTATTTTCATATTCATTTTCATTGCAAAACTCATCAAAGTTGAGATTATCAAATNTCCAAAAAGATTAATATGGAGTAATTGAAGTGGTTTTGTAGTAGATGAGTGCAATTTGGGTTTGAATGAACTTTTCACTTGTTTACCAAATTAACATGCATCACAAATTTTGTCTTTTTCAAACTTCAAATTTGGTAAACCTTTAACAAAACCATTTTTGGAGATTTTTGAAAGAAGATACATCCTAACATGACCTAATCTCCTATGCCATAGCCAAGTATCCTCTTTCAAACTCACTAAACAATTTTCATCAGTTTCAAAATCGATATTTATGATATAAACATTTTTGCTTCGGCTTCCTATAAACAATACCTCTTTAGATGTAGGATCCTTAATGAGACATTTAGAAGAATCAAATTTAATATGATAGCCTTTATCACATAATTGACTAATGCTAAGTAAATTTTGTTTGAGGTTATATACTAATAGTACATTTTCAATGGAAGGAAAGAGATGATTACCAATGTTTCCAATTCCTATGATTTTTTCCTTTGCTTTGTCTCCAAAGTTCTATCTCCGATCATTGCTTTGAGAACTCGTTATCCAAGAACCATTTGCTCATCATCTTCTTCGGTATCTCATCATCGGTCGCCATGAAGCATATGTTGGCAATCTCTTCTTGAATTTCATTTTCGTCATGATAGTCATCGTCCCTTTCATCCCATGTTCCTTGGAGTGTCTTTCTATTGAAATTTTTCTTTTTGTTTGGAAACTTGGTTCTCTTGTGACCGGGTTTGTCGCAATTGTAACAAATGATTTTCTTGCTTCTTTCTTCTCTCTTTTCCTCTTTCTTTTAAAATTTTCCTTTTTCAAAAACCTCTCCATTTTTTGACAAGAAGCACAAGATCATCAAACTCTTCATCACTCATGTGTTCACTTGTAGTTCCATCTTCAATTGTCGATTTGAGAACAGTTTGACGCCTAGGAGGCTATTTTGATTCTTCTTTGCTTTTCCTTGTCTTTTCCTTAGTTTCGGCGTTGTTTAACTTGTATATCATCATGGTTCCACAGAGTTCCTCCAAAGGATAAGAGTTGATATCTTTGGTATTCTCTATCAACATTCTTAATGAGCTCCAATCTTCCTATAGTAACCTAAGCATTTTGCTTACAAGCTCACCGTTAGTAAATTTATGATCAAAGCCCTTGAGGCCATTTACAATATCGATGAAGCAAATAATCATGTCAACAATATGTTCATCTTATTTCATGAAGAAATTTTCAAATTCTTTGACCAAGA